TCATATCTTCGTAGTGCTTAGACGAAACCTTGCGCGGATCACTTCACCATCACCGTCAGCACGCCGTCATGCTGACGGAACTCTCCCTCGACACTTTGCTGAATCAAGAGTTCGAGGGACGTCAGTGAGCTGAACGTGTGCAGAACTCGGAGGTGCCGTACGTTCGGTGCTTGATCGGTCGGAATGAGAAGAAGTTCGACTACATCAACCGTGTTATCAAACGCTTCCGCTTTCGGTCTACAAGGGTACGTGCATCTCCTAGATAGATCTTGCGTGAGCGTAAGATTTTTTTTGAAATTGCATGCTACGTTTCCCAACACAGTTTGTGAGGATTAGGTGTCGTCGGGTATTCGCCCCATAGCAGGTGTCTCGTGTAAAAGTATATGGAAAGCGTAGAACCCTTGTCTCGGGCCGCATGTATATATTGGGCAAAAGCCTTGGCATACAAGTTTACAGGAAGATCGAGAGAACGATCATGAGATCGACCGGGGCGGTCGTTATAGAGGATAAGGAGAGAAGAGGAGATAGAGATAGAGTACAGAATTTAAACAGACTTCTATCCTTATACAACTCCTATACCCATCTATTCTAACACACCCCCTCAATCTAAACCTCAATGAGCTTTGCCAAGGTTAAGATTGTACTTAAATTCATTCAACCTTCTCTCTGTAAGAGGCTTGGTAAACCCATCTGCAAGCTGATCTCCTGTGGGAATAAACCGAATCTCCAGAAGCTTTCGAGCTACTCTTTCTCTAACAAAATGGAAATCAACCTCAATGTGTTTTGTCCGTGCATGGAAAACAGGATTTGCTGAGAGATACGTTGCACCAATATTATCACACCATAATCTCGCAGCCTGTGGAGTTTTAACTCCAAGCTCATAGAGTAACGTTTGTATCCACATCACTTCAGCTGTAGCATTTGCCAGAGCTTTATATTCAGCCTCTGTGCTTGACCTAGAAACTGTGGCCTGTTTTCTTGCACTCCATGACACAAGATTAGTTCCCAGAAACACAGCAAAACCACCTGTAGATCTTCTATCATCAGCACATCCTGCCCAGTCAGCATCAGAGTATGCAGTAACAAGCATAGAAGAGGATTTGGTAATGTTAAGACCAAGACCTTCTGAAAACTTGAGATACCTTAAAATTCTTTTAACTGCAGTCCAATGAGTAGTTCTAGGTGCATGTAAATATTGGCATACCTTGTTTACTGAATAAGATATATCAGGACGGGTGAGTGTTAAGTACTGCAAGGCACCTACAACGCTCCTATAATTTGTTGCATCTTCTGGTCCAAGAACTTCTCCACTTTCCACTGTAAGCTTTTCTGAAGTAGAAATTGGAGTGTTAACTGACTTACACTTTTTCAATCCTACTCTTCTGAGGATATCAGTTGTATATTTTTCTTGTGAGAGAAGTATGCCGTCTTTAACTTGCTTAACCTCTATACCAAGAAAATAGTGAAGATCACCCAAGTCCTTGAGAGCAAATTCCAACTTAAGATCTTTAAGCAAGCAAGTGGTGGCATCTGGACTTGAACTAGCAACAATTATATCATCAACATAAACAAGCACAAAGATAGTGACATGGCCTTTATGAAAGAAGAACAATGAGGTATCTGCCTTGGATGGTATGAACCCAAGACGTTGCAACTGCATACTTAGTCTGGAATACCAAGCTCTTGGGGCCTGCTTTAAACCATACAAAGCTTTATCCAATTTACAAACGTGTTGTGGTGTGCTGGGATTCTCATAACCTGGTGGTTGCCGCATGAACACTTCTTCCTCAAGAACACCATGAAGAAACGCGTTCTGAACATCTAGCTGTCTTAGACTCCAACTTCTGGAAACAGCAATAGACAAGACAAGTCGAATAGTAGTTGACTTAATAACAGGACTAAAGGTATCTTCATAATCAATTCCAAACCTTTGTTTAAATCCTTTGGCAACTAATCTGGCCTTATACCTGTCTATGCTTCCATCAGACTTTCTTTTTATCTTATACACCCATTTGCAATCAATAACATTGTCTCCATACTTTGGTGGAACCAAGTGCCAAGTCTTATTTTTCATAAGTGCATCATATTCTTTATCCATAGCTTCCTTCCAATCCTTATTAGCAAGAGCATCATGCAAATGAATTGGTTCACCGGTGGTGGTAAGAAAAGCACGTTTGATTTTGTCATACCTTATCGTGCCATCATTATACTGTTTTTCCTTGACGATACCTGACCGAGACCGTGTTTGCCGAAGAAAGGATGTAGGCGGTACAGGAACGGTTGCCACAGAAAATCCAGCCATCTCCTGATCCGAGATGGGTCCATGCAGTGAACCAGAGCCAGCCGGCTCATGATCCGAGGCGAATCCATGCAGCGACTCAGTCGCGCGCCCGCGACCAGACGCACCAGCCGCCGTGGGGTCAGGCTCGCACCCACGGTCGGGCGTTATGGAGACCCGTGAAGGCGACGCGGTGGATTCATCCCCCCCGCACATGGGCTGGCAGCGCGGGAAGACGTGGCGAGCGAGGGCGCGGCAGGATTGGCGCAAGGCGACACGGCGGGACCGGTGGGCGCCATCCAGTCAGCACGGTCGGCCACCAGACCAGGTGAGGCCAAGCGCATGGGGGAATCCACCTGGGATCGCGCGCCGCCAGAGACAGCAGGCTGGGCGGGCGAATCTGCCTGGGATCGCCCGTTGTCAGCCGGATCAACATCAATTTCTGTGCCTGTTTTGTTGGTTTCCTCACACATAAAATGACAACGTGAATTAGCACAAATATCAATAGAACCGGAATTTTCTTGGGATTTTTGTACATGATCAGGTTCATTTAATTCCCCCTCACGACCAGGTAGTGTAGTAGGATTAGAAAGGAGGGCAATTTCTGCGCGAAGTAGGGCTCCCGCATTGGGATGGAGTTTGGCAAAAGGAAAGAGTGTCTCATCAAAAATAACATCACGAGAGATATAAATATGTCCAGTAGAAATTTCAAGGCATTTATAACCTTTATGAAGATTACTATAGCCAAGAAAGACACATTGAGTGGATCTAAACTCAAGTTTATGATGATTGTAGGGACGCAAATTGGGGTAACAAGCACACCCAAATATCTTGAGATAGTTGTAATCAGGTTTTTGATGATAGAGACGCTCTAATGGAGTAGTGTTGCCAATAACTCTGCTAGGGAGCCTATTAATAAGATAAGTGGCAGTGATAAAGGCTTCATCCCAGTACTTGAGAGGCATGGAAGCATGAGCTAAAAGGGAAAGACCAACTTCAACAATGTGGCGATGTCTGCGCTCAGCGGAGCCATTCTGTTGATGAGCATGAGGACAAGACACATGGTGGACTATTCCAATGCTACGGAAAAAAGAGTGGAGTTTTTCATACCCCCCTCCCCAGTCACTTTGGACGGCAAGAATTTTCCTATCAAATTGGCGTTCAACAAGTTTCTGAAATTCTTGGAAAATAGAGAAAACCTCAGATTTGTATCGAAGCAAATAGATCCAAGTGAACTTGCTATAATCATCGATAAAACTGACATAATATTTCTTTCTACCAAAAGAATCACGGGCATGGCCCCATACATCACTGAAAATAAGGTCTAACAAAGCATGAGACACACTAGTTGACTTGGAATAAGGAAGCTGATGACTCTTGGCACACTGACAAGCTTCACAAACAGACTCACAAGCTGGACTGGACGACAAAGAAAGTTTGTCTTTATGAACTATTTGTTTGACAATGATCGAAGATGGAT